TCTTTTATCCCGCTCGCAGAACAAGTGTTGCTGCCATATTCAGTAAATGACAATTTTTTACTCGAGAGTAATTTTTCTTTCATGTTTGACAACATTGAACGCTTCGGCGCCATCAGTCAGCGCTCAAAATCCATAATTCATCGGTCTAATCTTCAGTATCAACCCGCTAGGATATCTTTCAAGTTGCGAATAGGCAATAGGATTTGGGGACCATTAATGCCTGATCTATGTGGGGTGTTTCATTTTCGATCGATTGTACGATTAAAGTGAGAACGGTGAGGTTATATGTCATTAATCATCAAGTGTGATTTCTTTGAATATTTGTCGATGCTAAATATGTGTAAGAACTCTACTACGTTATAATATGGACCAAACTTTGGAATTCATTTTTTTTTTAGTCGCTCACGAACTGCACATCACGAGATGCGCCTTCATTTTACGAAGTAGACTACTAACTTTCCTGAGATTAGTCACAGTTATCGTTTGGACGTATTTCCGTCAAACGGAACTATATGCATTAAGACATGAGCCCTGAAACTCATAAGAATGTACGCATAACAGGGCTCACGTCATAATGCACATAGTTCCGTTTGGCAGAAATGCGTCCATTCCGAAAATTCTGCATTGCAAAATACACATTGCTTGCCTGTGTTACACTAGCACAGCTGCCCTAACTCTGGCATCACGCTACCGTGCTGCGGAAGGACGCCGTATAAACCTTCAGGCATTGCCAAATTTCCTTTGATAGAACGCGAAATTCTTGGTAAACATACGAATGTTTTCCTCTCAATTTTGCAGATAATTTTGTTCGCAATTTCATCGAAAGATTCTGAAAATTTAAAGGAAAAATATTCTTAACTTTCCTCAAAAACATACATTTTATAGAAGGAAATTTGGCAACTCTCAAATGTTCATACGGCGTTCATCCTTAGCACGTCAGGACGGTAGTGCCAACGCAGATTTCCCTCAGAAGTCTCCATTGATTTTGAAAAAAATTCAAAATGAAAATAACCATACGTCACTACAGGGCCGGATTAAGGGGGTGGCCACATGGGCCGCGACCCATGGCGGCAAATCTATAGGGGGCGACAAATTTTGCAATTTTTTTAATTGTAGGTATGAAAAAAATTCGGATTTGGAAGAAAAAATTACAAACGAGAAAAGGCGACAAAATCTCTACTTTTCTGAGAGTATAGTAATTTCTACTTTTGTCGTCTTTCAGTGATACAAGAGACATCACCTTTAATTAGTCGAGTTAAGAGAGAAACCAAACACGCAATTTGGCCTGGAACGGAGCGACTTACCTAGAGAGAAATGATGACGAGGACTTGAGATGAAAAGGAGAGGCCCTCGGCGCGGCGATTGGCATGTAACATATATTAGCGCCTACAAGACTGCACGAATACTTCACGCATTGCATCAAACACAGTGCGGTCATTGCGGACAGCGACGCATTGCGGCAAACACAGTGCGATCAGCGTGAGACGCATAGCGCCTACAAGACTGCGTGAATACTTCACACATTGCGTCAAACACAGTGCGGTCTGCAAGGCGCGGCGGCGGAAGTTAAAATCCTTAATCCACATTTATTTTTGTTCTTTCATATTTTTTTCGTTCATTTCTCATGAATTGAAGGCCTTGTCCACACAGAGATAGGTTTACGAAACTTGACGTTCGCGCAAAGTTCCGTCAACTTTTGCTGGTAGTGTTGACAGAGCTTTCGCAAAAAATGTGTTCAACGCCAGTAAACGCGTCTTATGCACCCCTCCCCCTCTGGCACGCTCATTTGATGGTTTTCATTGATGTTTCAAAACGAATGAGAAGGGGGCGGCAAAATACTAGCGGCCCATGAGCGGCAAGTAGGTAAATCCGGCCCTGCGTCACTAAATGTCTTCGAATAACCATTACGATTGCTTCATCATAAATGCAGGGAGCTTTATCCACGATCTTACCACGAGTTGTGATATATCTTACAGGAAGTTAAAAACATTCGTCAATCCTAAACGGTTAAAATTATAGCTAAAAAATAGAAACCTCTCCGTTTCCTTTGAAGAATGTAGCTAAAGTGTATAACCATCCATGGAAAAAGGAATCTTTGTGCACAAAAACTCACAATTGAGTTTTTGACGTGCAGAACCGGGACTTAAGTCGGTTGACGCAGAAGAGTGATAATACCAACACTGCTGTGATAGCGAGGAGAACAGTAAGTATGCAAAACTGAAGTTTTGAGAAAACAGGCTCAGGAGCATCTGAACGGAAAATTTTATTGAAAGAAGCCTCCGTTCATTTTCAAATTATCACTAATCGTCCGAAAGACTCCTAGAAATCGTTTGGATGATTAAAAATCGACTGATTTTGTTTCAATTACAAAAGGGTATTTTTCATCTTCATGCTAGGTTATTGTTAGGCAAGACAGCCTTAAGTACTATCTTCTGCATACCTTCGTGGTTGCGTTTTGGATACATAACNTCACAATTCTGTATTGCTTCCCACATTCTTAGCCATAATTTATTAATTGTTACAAAATATTTTAGGGTGTTCGGCGAACACTGCGAACCTATGGACGCCACGCCACTGTTTTGGATACATAACAAACTTACTATCAGGTTAAAAATTGGCAGAAGAGGGCGGCACTTTACTTGACAGTACTGTTTCCATTGGCTCTCTGGAGGAATATTGTCACTTACTGCTGTCTTTCCTGAAAGTATGTCCATTTTTGCGCAATTACGGCTTCCTCGCATGTCTCGTCTCCATGAAAATAAGATGAATTTCGCTGTTTCAGTGATTTAATCTAAAAGAGATTAGGTAGCAAATTTTGAAAGAAACTCGATTTCGAAAATTTGACACTTACTGCTCTCTTCGCTATCACGGAAGAACACCTTTATGGGAGTGCTATGTGCGTGTTGCATATCCAAATTATTGAAGGTGCCGTGGCAACCCTTGCCCGAGCAGTGCCACTCGTGACGTGCCTTCTAGATCATCAGGATCCAACAATACTTATTAGTTCTTCAATGGTTAAAACCACCAAACGGAGAAGAAATGCCTGCAAGGGACCGTTCGGTTCGTATGCGTACAGTTGTCAAATGGAACACAGAATCTCGCAAGCGACTAGGTGCTGAAAGGGAAAATATTTGTGGCACCTTCAATGCCGCCTAATGCAATCAGGGCCGGATTTTCCTACTTGCCGCCCATGGGCCGCCTGTATTTTGCCGCCCCCTTTTCATTCGTTTTGAAACATCAATGAAAACCATCAAGTGGACGTGCCAGCGGGGGAGGGGCGCATAATACGCGTTTACTCGTGTTGAACACATTTTTTGGGAAAGCCCTGTCAACACCACTAGCAAAAGGTCACGGAACTTTGCGCGAAAGTCAAGTTTCGTAAACCTATCTCTAATGGACAAGGCCTTCCATTCATGAGAAATGAACGAAAAAATTATGAAAGAACAAACACAAAATTTGGTTTAATGATTTTAACTTCCGCCGCCGCGCCGACCGCACCGTGTTTGGCGCAATGTGTGAAGTATTCACGCAGTCTTGTAGGCGCTATGCGTTTCACGCTGACCACAGGTGTTTGATGCGATGCGTGAAGTATTTGTGCAGTCTTGTAGGCGCTAATATGTGTTAGATGCAGATTGCCGCGCCGAGGGCTTCTCCTTTTCATCTCAAGTCCTCGTCATCATTTCACCCTAAGTCGGCGCCGTTCCAGGTCAAATTGTGTGTTTGGTTTCTCTGTTAACTCGACTGATTAAAGGTGCTGCCTCTCGTATCACTGAAAGACGACAAAATTAGAAATTACTATACTCTCAGGAAATGAGAGATTTTGTAGCCTTTTCTCGTTTTTAATTTTTTTTTCTAAATCCGATTTTTTTTATACCTACTTACATTTAAAAAAATTTCAAAATTTGCCGCCCCCTAGATTTGCCGCCATGGGCCGCGGCCCGTGTGGCCACCCCCTTAATCCGGACCTGAATGCAATACGCACATACTGCGAGCACGAATAATAATTGCCTCAAGGTAATAGTATTGTTCTTTTCTCGCATCCTCAGGCCAATTTAAAAGCCGTTGCTTCGCTTCTTAATGAAACTTGAAGACTCCCTATATATTCATATTGATCATTATTTGGATCGAGTTTATCAGAAAGGAACCAACCCACATTTTCTAAAAAAATGAGTTTAGAATGTTTTTGAGTTCCACTGGCCTCATATTTTCTCCTGTCAAAAACCTGAAAATCGAAAAACAGAAATTAGTGTGTTAAAAGAGGGGTTAGAGCTTACTTTCTACATTGAGCCTTATGCAGGAATAAAACTTCAAACCCTTTTTCCTGAGTTTCAACTTAATGTGGGTTGGTTCCTTTCTGGTGAACTCGCTTCATTTTATAGTTTGTT